GAAAAGATAAATCAGTTTCTCTGTATTGTTTAATATTGCCATGTTCATAATTAAGTCAGTCATCATCGTCATCATTGTCATAATATCCACCGCTATCATCTCCACATATGCCATCCCAATAATCAAAAGAGTCGAATATTGTTCGCTTTCTGTCTAAAAGATATGATATCATATTCGTTTTAAATCCTTTTTATTGCATTTCTATTAATAAATCTCTATGCTTACATGCATATTCCTTCGAATATGAATATTCCGTTAGATCAGACGCGTAACATTGATAGGGATAGTCTCCTAAATGACGTTGTATTAGTTTGAAAAGCAGATGAAGTTGTTGTATCGTAAGAATATCAGTATGATCATTCATTCCATTACAATATAATTCACAATCGAATTTTTCTAAACCAGGTATATGAATATGAAGAAATTTAGACAATTTTTCGAAATACTCTAATATCGACTGTTCACGAATCATCCCTGTGACACGCAATTGTTTGAGATAAGGCATGTAAGGAAGTATCTTTCCGAGAGCATCAGACGGATTTAGAAGACTTATTTGTAGTCGTTTAAGCGACGTGTGACACATTTTGAAATTTACTGGCTCTTTGATAGATTCTGAAAAACTCGTTTTCAATTGACGTAAATTCGGTAGAAAACTGAGTAAAGGGACCAACATTGATCCGCTCCATTTACGAAGGATAAGTGTGCGAATTGTAGGATTTGGTGCTTGATTGTGCATGTTAAAATCTAGCATGTGATAATGTTTTCCAGAGAATTGAAGAACTTTAAGTGATGGAAAATGCTTGCTATCAAGAATATAAGGCAATAATATGATTCCGAAGGAATATGGAACATTATAAATGGAAAATCGCTTGAGATATGTTAATTCAACAGTGAGTACCTATAATAATAATACTAATATACATCCGTACTTTTCTGTCAGCGTCTTGATAGTTTAGCAGAAAAACACAGTCGTTCAACATACCTGAGCCAATTGAGTATTCGACAGATAAGTGCAGTTGAGTTTCAATGAACGAAGCTCTGTATAAAAATGTAAATCCAGTCCATTCCAATGGTGACTTACTATCAGACGAATGAACTGGTTTGGAAGAAAACTCTTCAGATAATTGAAATTTTGTTGTTTTTTTATGACGATGTTTAGTTTTACATCGTGCATAATATTATTGATTCGTTCATTTTGTCCTATAAAACTATGAAGATCGATTGGTTTTAAATATTTGAAGATTTTAAGAAAAATTTCATCTGGAAGCAGTTCAAGCCGATTTGAAGTCGAAGATACAGTATTGTTCATGATAATAAGAAAATCATCTTTAACATATAAAGTTTAATCCATTTACTATTGTAATCGAACAACTATTACGCAGCTTTCAAAACAAAAATACGCTGATATTAGTCATCGAAAAAATCGGAGATTTCATATTTATGTGTAAAGAAAAACTTCTCACGCATCAATTACATTTTATCATCGGTAATCAGAAAATTCATACTAACATTTAATTCATACATAGTTTCGTTCATTAATTGAAAATTCAGCAATTTATCAAGTTCTCTATTCTCATTGTTGTATAAAATTTACTCAATAATAGAGATACGGCGCATTTTTTCGTTTGTAGAATTGCGTAAATAAAAAAATAATGTTACGTTATCTGCTTATCTTTCACCTTGAATTCAGCATCCCTATCATTTAGCGGACTGTCACGTATGGAGAAGTATCGAAATTGAAAGTAAAGAAACTTGAGTCTAACATTCACAAGAACTCAATGAATAATATTTGAAATAAATGCTTTTTTCGACTTGTCCAAACGTAATATCGTTACGTTTTTGACCCAGATTTTTTCTGCTGTCTCGAAAACGGTGAGAGATAGAACGTTCGTTCAAGTGCTATGCGATGCAGCTGATCATGTTCTATTTATGTTCTAAAAACAAGGATTTTTGGTAGAAGTCTCGAGCATCTAGAAAAATTCAAAGGTCAAAAAGTATTCCCCTAACTATTTTTGCTCATGTGAGAAAAGCAAAAAAACAACCGTAATGCTGCTATTACCTTTTTCTCGTAGATTGTTGCATCGTTTTTATTCAGTGTAGATTCGTCTGAATCGGTTGTTTTAATTTCTAGAGAGACATTTCTGCGAAAAACTGTACGTCTGTTACAGGTTCGAAACATGTTCAGAGGCTCCTAACCACTCTAATTTAAATGCATTCTATGTAAAACATCAGCTTTGCTCCAGTTGGAGACGGAGATTCAGCTTTCTTTCAGCTGAGAATTTTCCTTTCAGTATTCCTACTGATAAATGTTTTTCCTATTATTGTTCTTCCATTTTTTTTAACGTAAATCAACGAAACTCTGGTTGGAAGAACATTTTTCTATCCTTTATCGACTGTCTAAACACACGTATACAGAGAAAAGCAAAACCCAAATGATACTAACAACTATGAATGTCTAAAACTAATTATTTTAATTTTTACAGATATCAAAACACGATTAGATGTTTAATTTTAGCTGCGGCATTTCAGATACTGTATAAATACTTTTAAAATGTGTTTAACCCCGTAGAATCTTTACATAGAGTGTCTCTTGCAATATTCTAAATATTAATCAGTTTTTTCTTTCGAGTCATTGATAATACTTAGGAATGAAATGTCTTCTAGTTGTCAAATCTTCTTACTGAAACAACAGGCATTTAAAGAAACTGATGCTTTTTCAAATCAGATACTTTTGCTGTAAGACAGTGTAGTGTTTCTTTTTCAAGGAGAAACAATACAACAATGTATTTATCTTTAAAAACAGGGTTTTAAAATGATGTTGCATTTATTTAGCGGAGAAATATTCAAAAAAACTCAGAATATTTACTTTAATAAAATTGCACTATTTTTATGTGAAGAAACGAAATCATCCATGAACTTTTCAAAATTGATGTTAAAATCGCGCTCCACTGCTAAACGTTCTTGAGAGTGTGGATGTGAATGAAGAGAAGGTTTACAATGACCCATACCCACACCCTTTTGAACGCTGGAAAATATTTCTAAACCGAAATTCAAGATTGAATAGTCTTGAAGTAAAAAAGAAGTAAAAAAAGACTAAAAGAATATTGAAAAAATGATTATAGAAGAGGATGTTAGAATATTTTGTGCTACTGAAACGAAGGCTTGTTGTTCTTTGGAGATCAAACATAATTGTGTTCATGTGACAGCTTCTTTTTTCTCTATTCAAATTCATAAAACAATGCTTGGACTCGTTCCAATTAGCATTGTCTTTTAAAAATGTTTCACGACTAAATTCATTGAATATATTCCGTTGCACTTGAATATTATTTCAGATGATTACCTTAGCCTAGAAAATCCAAGTAGGTATCAGAGTTCTCAATGGGCCGGGTTGGGCTAATAAAAACCAGCCCATGGGCTATCAATCTCGGCCCAGCCCAGCCCATGTTTTTTTCTAAAAAAACCGGTCCCCCATGGGGTGCCCATGGACCATTCATCTGATTGATACTTTTCAGACAGACATGTTGACTTGCCATGCTAACTGAAGTAATTAAGATGCTAAGCACTTTATCGTATGGCGTCACGAGATTTTTTTCTTTAATTAATTCTAGCTAGGCGTACATATGTCAAGTCGTCATTTTGTGTCAAACTCAACTCAAAAACTGAAAATCTGAAATTTTTCATTGAAACGTTAGGTGAAAGTATCAAACTGCTACTGATACCAGTTTTTTCCAATCTTCCAAAAAATGTTCTGCTCGTCACATATAGCATGCAAAAACAACAAACTAAAATAACTTAGCTGTGATATAACTAAAATGAAGACGGTAACAAAAGTTAGATGACACTCTGTTAACTCATATGTAGGAGAGCTGTAAAAGCAGCTAATTACATATAATGAATCACATGGATAATTAATGACGGACTTTTACATGTCTGATTTTCAGTTACGATTATGCTTTTATCCGATGATCAGTCGCAAAGGAAATTTCAGCTTTACTTTGAGAAAGAAGTTTTGATAATTTTCGTTTTGTTTTATATTCGGCCCATGGGCCGGGCTGGGCCGGGACGGGCTTGACCCAGCCCATTGAGGCCTCTGGTAGGTATTAATTTCGATCAAGTCAAATTACTTACTAAAAAAGCATATAGTACAAAATATTTTCTCTTGGAGGAATAGAAAATAAAGGATTTTATAATTTATAACGTGTTAAGTATCAAATTATTTGCAAGTAATCATTATCAAGTGTCACGATAATAAGTATTTATGAGTTTGATTGTCTATAATACCATAATATGAATACAATTTCATTGAACTTTTAAAAACATTCTATTTGATATTTATTCTTTAAGAGTAGTATATATAATAAACAATTTTTGTACAAACCGATTTTAGTCATGTGATGAGGTCTTTAAGCAAGATCAAAACTCGCCAATGAGAAAAGCAATTTATCTCTAAGATTCTTCAGTATGTTTGAAGCCATTCAAGAATTATATTAAATCTATCAAAATACTTCAACAATTTCCAAACTAAAATCTACCCTTAAGACGAGTTGATCATCTTAGAAATCATATATATGTAGAACCACAACTCTTCATTTTTTTGTGAATTATATAATCATTTATATTGATAAACTATGAAAACGAAAATCATTGAAATTAATACTCGATATGCTGTAGTGTCGGTTTTGAAGCATGCAAACACTTCAGATTACAATAATTGTCAGTGTTCACAACGTAGGGCGTGTCTTTTGAAATAATGAATTTTCCCAGTATATTATCGAGATGCATTGGTATGCTACTCTATCAGTCCAAGCTAAAGATTTACTTAATCGCTTTAAAACGGTATTTTTGTTTTTAAAGATCGTGATGCATGGAAGAATTTTCTATCGAATAGAGAACGTCTGACCTCGATGAACGCTTGCCTTTCGAAACTATTTGAAAAATATTCATTTTTTTTGTTCTTCTTTTGTAAATAAGGAATACAAAAAGTTATGTCGTCAAAACATCTAGTTCGTCTCGTTTGTTGATATCAATGTTAAATAGATAACATGTTTTTTCTTCGTTTTTTCGAATGTAACGCTTTCAATTTTAAAAGATCGTCCTGGGCGTATAAGTACTTCTTCTTCTTCCGGATAAGCAGATAGAAAAGAAATATCCATGTTCAGCGTACTATATGAAATACGATTTTCAGCATTCAGAACAAATAAAGCATTGCCAAACTGTTCAGCTTTTGCACGACTGCGACTACACGATGTAAATGCTTGAAACGATCGTCGTGGATCGTTGCTTTGAGCGACATATTGATACTCAGCAATCATTTTATCGGTCAATTGAGCGCCTCGGTACACAGTAGTATTTGTTCGTTGATTTAAATTTTCGTAAGATAAATAATAGTAGAGAAGAAAAGCAAACGGACCTAGAGTTTCTACTTTACTTCGCCAGACATTTTCATGATTCTTGTCACCTATGAGACGCATCGTTTGATTTAAAATTTTGTAGAGAAATGACTCAAGAGAATAAAGATAAATGCAACATTCGCCAATTTCTTTCTTTGTTTTGTCTTTGACTTTTTCTAACTGTTGAACAATCCATTTAGCTTCACATTGTTTTCCGGCCAGTTTTCCTTCATGTAAAATACCCAACATTGCTTTCTCTAGTATATCATGTTTCCGCTTTTCCCAGTCTTTTACATGTTTAAGATCGAAGAATTCTATGAAACTATCGATAAAAAGCTTTCTGAATCCAACTAAATCATGAAATGAGCTGTCAGGTACTATTGGATTGGGCATAAAACGTGCTTCTCTCAAGCGCCCTTCATCTTTGTTCATTTCTGCTCGTTTTACCGGTCGTTGTTTGCTTTTATCATCGTTCGAAATTTGAACTTGATGTTCAAAATCAATATGATAATCATCGAGAATCACGTAGGGTTTTTTCAATGTCGTAAATGCGTCTTCGATAATTGTATTTTCAATATCAGAAAATCGATTCCATTGGGCCGATTCCATGTTTGAAAATGGATTACCGTTTGATTTCCAAAACCACTCAATGCATTTTTGTGTCATCCTTTACAATGATCTAAGTTAAAAATCAATTGCAATATCAAACAATGGATGAAACAGTAGAAAAGAACCGATCGCTTGACTAACAATTGAAAACAAAGCTGAAACTGTAGAACGACTAAAAAGGACATCGAGTGTGTGCGAAGAGATGATGCATATCCACACCCACATTCGCCGCCATATCTTTCTGTTTTGTTGGTTATGAGAAAAAAGAATATTGAAAATAAGAGAGATTAACGAATGAACTGTGACTCCAACGTGGTTCACATTTCAATGTTATAAGAATCTAGTTGCCTTTGCTATATATGTGCATATCAAATGGAGGGTTTTCGTTGAGAAGTGTTCCAGTAATGGTATCTCTTTCTCATGGATATTCTCATTTCTTCTCTCTTTTCATGCTTTTCATCCAATTCTCTCTGTATTGTTCTTTTCTGACTTCATCTCCCTCCCATATAAACTTGTATTGTATGCAACATAAATATAATTTAGAGAAATGAATCAAGTTTGTTTTTTATACCTAACAAATCTCTGAAATAGTATTATTTACAGCACAATTTTATTATAAGTTCATACTCCAAGAAATGTGACATAGTAAACACTCATCGTTGCATGATACATTCTAATAATAAGAACAGAAGATAGATCATTACTTACTTTTTTATTTTCTAAATTATCAATAATAAATGCTGCGTAACAATTGCTGTCGAAAGAAAATAGAATGATTCATGTGTCATACCAATCAGAATTTTTGTTGATGCTGTCGTCAAAACAGTATTATATAAGTGCGCCAGTATGTGTTTGTTTAACTTATATGCATACGAATGAGAGAGGCAAATGAAAGGAAAGAAAAAAAAAACTATTGAAAAATTCTTGAAACTGAAAATGAGAGACACAGTTACTTTCACTCATCGTCACATTCACCGTTACACTCAATTACTGTATAAATAAACTGACTGATTTAATTTTCTTTCCATATAGAAAACTTATCCAAAATGTACTTCACACGATATTCGGAGGATATGAATCGGATTTGTGTGTAAATGTGTGTAAGTGTGATTATGAGCGTTCTCCATTCACCAGCATCTACCCAAACCGTCTACATCAGCCACCTGCTCGTCTAAATGAATACTTCGAAAAAAACAACATTTTTTCAAAAACTTTCATCAACTACTCAATGTCCCCATGTCGCTGAGCTCAATATTTTATATCACAGAAAAACGCACGCTATAAAGAAACAAATTATTTGCATTTGTTAACAATTGCAATTTCACCATTCATTTAATGTTCGTATGTCTCACAATTGAAAAAAAAAGTATTTTTGAAATATATAATCTATTGAGCAAACCAAAAGTAGTCAATTTATCATTGTTTACATATATAATAACAATCTAAACACATCTCTATTATTAACTAAGCTTCAAAATACAATTCAAACACTGTTTAAAACATTAACAAATGTATTCTAGCCATTCAAATGGCAAGGAAGGCTTTAGAATTTCCTAGAACAGTCTAAGTCTTGCTGTTAATGTCGGTGAGTCCCTTTTTCGTTGCTAAGGAGCTTCGACAAACGAGTCCAGCGCCTGTTATTCTCTTTTGCAAAAGTCTGTAATGGGAACGGAAGTAACAGAAAAACTTCGATTTGAAACTTACATTTATTATTTTCTTCGAAAATAGATGTGAATCTCAAAAAAAGTGTGTCTAGCATTGAGTAAGAAGCAAACGAGATACGAGTTATAATAAAAAAACAACAACATTAGAACAGAAATTATACGCGTTCGATGCATTGTATGAATAACATTACATGAAAGTATTTCAAAGGCATCTAATTGTTAATGTTAATGGTGCTTTCTTTGTCTTCCACGAGAAATGTATATTTGTTATGATAAGGTTTAAATCTATGAATCGATATAGGCTATTTATGTAATTGATTTGTGTAACACTTCTTTAAAATTACAATATATATTTTATCATAGCTTATTCTACATATCCATTAGCAGATGAAAGCAATCAAGCAATGCGTGCTTGCCGATATCAAATTGGGGAAAAATGTTTTCAATTGGTGATGATTTCAACATCAAATATACAATGGTTTAAGATGTATATAAAGTTCGGTCAAAACTCTCTTCATTCAGTGATGAACTTGTTCTCGAATATATTGGCTGGAAAGTAAGTAAATAGAATTTAGAATCAAATTATTTGAATCAATTAATCTATCAAATCGAACTTTTTCAAAAAGAGAATAAATTCATTATTTAACAAACTTTATATATTTTAAGAATAAGCATACTATTCTTAATGATTCATAACTATCTCACTTAGATACCTCACTGGTGAAAAAACTGTACGATGAATACATTGGGTGTGGGTGTGATTGAGCAAAGAAAAGATTGACTTTACACCCACACTCCCGCATCGCCTCCATCATGCATATCTACTCACAACCAAATTTAAACAGCTTCTAAAAGTATAATGTTCAAAGGTGCTATTTTATGTTCCTTTTTTGAGAAAGAACGAAAATAATCGACAAGACTAGCAATGAATGTATGAATAAAATCGTCGATAATGGTTCTGTAGCACAAACAATGATTTGTCGCCCAGGTCGAACATTACGACGACTAGATACGACCGTATACGGTCGCTTACGACGCCGTATTTCTATGCACCGTATTACGGCCGTATTTCTATGCACCATATTACGGCCGTAAATCGCGGTGTCGTAAACGGCGACACATGGTTGCAGTATACGACAGAGGAAACGCGGTAAAACAAGCCAGCTCACGGTCGGCCTTTTCAGGAGGGTCTATCTAGGGTCCCTCAAGTCCTATTTTATAAAAAAAAGTTTGGGTGCTTTGAAAAAAATTCTTTTTTCTCAAAAAGTCTATTTCTGCAAAAAAAAAATTTTTTTTTGAAAATAGGACTCGAGGACTCTAAGGATTATGGGTAGTACTTACCTAACGGCAAAGTTGATGGTGTGATAATGGCCTCAACGACTCACCGATACATATACACACATCTGTGGGACAGAACAAATCGGTGAATAAATAGTGACTTTATCTCAAACCTGATTGGTCGAAAAAGGGACCAATCAGATTTCTGAAGGGTCTATCTCTCTTATTAGACTGGCAACACATGGTCATGTTCGGGCCGATCCTGGGGTTATCGAGGACGCTCGATCGAATGAGGGGCATATGTATGGGTCTCCTCCTTGCTCTTCACTGAGAAATATAATCTCGCCATTTGATTGGTCGAAAAATGGACCAATCAGATTTCAGGAGGGCCTGTGTCTTTTATTAGACGGACAACACATAGTCATGTTCGGGCCGATCCTAGGGTTATTGAGGACGCTGTTTTGAATGAGGGTTATATGTGTTGGTGTCCAGCTTTTGTATAGCTGAGAAATCTCATCTCGAAATCTGATTGGCCAGTTGAAATGGCCGGATTATCGTTTAGAGCCGGTGTAATTTATCGACGGCCGTAAACGGTGGGTTTTTACGCTAGTCGTTTGTGATGGGCGTAACGCTAGGAAAACGGTTGTTTACGATGAGCGCATTACAACGTAAAGCATCGTTTACGATTGCCATAAATGGCTAACGCGAACAGTTGCCGTTATTCGTCGTATATGGTTGGTACACGGCCGTGTACGACAGAGGAGGATTGACCTGGGTCGTTGATTAGCGACTATTAAGTCAAATCAACAGATTGATAGATCGTCATTGGGGCGTCATTGATTATCAATGGTGATTATTTGATTGTGTACGTAGTTTTTTTTTTGAAGAGTACATCCAATGTATCCTATACACAAAATATTGAAGATCTCTTTGACTCAATACAATGAAGCATTTTCCCGATTGTTAGAACGCTTTGATAATGAATTTTCTTTTTTTTCTCCTGCGATCCAGGTATAATTGTGAACCATAACAGTACTTCTCTAAAAGGTTTGTGTTTAGAAAGAGATCATACTGAATTTTTGATGTCAAACTATTTTCACGAAAACCGAAAATTGGATAAAATTCTTGAAATGAAGAATCCAAGATATTGGTCTATAAGTTTACATCATAGCGAAATCTAACGGAAAGATAGTATGCCAAAGGTAATTATTATGTTCATCTTCTTGAAATAAATGCTAAACTCTATCTACAGACATCGAATATCATCAATCTTCTTATATGATATATGTTAGATGTGACAAATAGCGTAATTTTAGGGTATACATGAGTTTTTATCGATCTTGGACATGACTATATCAAGTGTCAAAATAGTAACTGCATCAACGTCATTAATCAGGCCAACCACTTTTTCCTTTGGTTCGAAAAAGTTGCTGGACTAAATTCTACGCTTAACAAAATATTTCTCACAGATAGCTCAATATTAATGAGATCTAGATGCTATCTCGCTCTCACGAAGTGTTAATTCCATCCAAGTTTTTCAAAAGAAAATCTGTGACTCTCGAAAACGTACTACGCAGAGAAAAGCTAAATAAACATATATTTCAATGACTATTCTAGAAATTTTCATGGAAAAAATTTCATGACATTGGTTGTTTTGATCGAACAAAAATCATTACACTTGATTCATTACTTTTACATGATTTTTATTTCTTTGGAAAAGTCAAAAACATGGAATGAACATGATGAATTTAGATTTTACACATATATTTATTCTTTCTCACTGCTTTTACTCAAAAGGGATACCACGTACGAGACATTTGAATACTGCGATCCCTAGGCGAACTTTTTTTTCATGATCTTGACCTGCGCAAAACTCAAGGTTTGTCCGTAGCGCATGACTTTCTTGCTCAAGACAAGCGCTTGAGTGTTTGCATGAGTTACAAGAAACTCATGTGCTCAACTCAAGAAAATGCAACTATAAATTTTTATTAAAAGTTGAGTTATTTTGAACATAAAATTGAAAAAAAAACTAAAAAATTTCTTAATGACAGAAACGCT